ATCTTAAAGCCCTCTACCATGTCTCTGAACTCAGAAAATGTATGATTAACCCTGCATCACTCTAATAATGATTGATGCGCGTTGTCCACATTTGCTTTATGATGGATATAAACAACTGTAATGAATAATAACTCTAAGTAAGGCGATAGATTAAAAAAACAAACACTATATTTAATGGTGGTGGCTGCTTTATATTTTTAACCATTAGTAAAATGGCTGTCCCATTTCTTGAGTCAGTCGTTCATGTTGGCATTTCATTGTCATCCTGGGATGTTCTCCCTCTCCTGCCACCTGGGTATCGGCAATCTCAAGTATCCGTGATTGGACGATAAGGAAAAAGAAATGATCGCCTAACCCTAATTGGACTGTGAAGTTCTGTTCTCTGAGCCAGGTTTTGGTGTGAGCGAAGATGCAGGCATCCCAGTACTCCGACAGCACTTGCTTTCAGTTCCTCCATGTTATTCATTAAAGACTGCACATTAGTAAGCATGATAGAGGGCAGGGGTATGCTGTGCAGCTGTTGTCTCACAGGCTCTCTGTCTCTCTGGCACACTCCTCCTTCCCTTCCTCTCTTCCTCACCCAAACCGTCCTGGTCCTAGTAGATTACATTCCATGGACTTCTTCAAAATCACCAGCTGTAGCACAGTGCCTGGTTCCATTTCCCACGATGCCAGAATTAAAGCACTGAGTAAGAAATTCTGCGCTGTACTTAAGACTGTGATGCTGGTTGTACTCTTGCAGACCAAACACGACTGTAAAAAAAAGACCAATATCACCATCAAGGAACAAATCCCCTTTGTCCACGCAGGGAGTATCAAACAAACAGACTAAGGAACAACAAAGCAAAAAAACAAACAAAGAAGACTGCTGCTGTGGACCCCACAGGTGCAATGCCCCGACTACAACTGCTCTACATTTGTTCTACACATTGCTGCCTGCTCTCTCTTTGCTGAGAAGATGTTTCAGACATGGGATTCACTTCGAAAAAAGATTGTCCACAGTATTAGCTTGCCATCTTGTGACTTACTAAAACAGAATAAGCACCAAAAAAAGTGTTTAATGTGCCTGTCCTGTAAGATGTTTGAGGGGCACAACATCAATGCAAGAAGACACAATGACACCAGGGACCTTCTCTATGGTGTTCACTTATATACTCTTCTCAGGTGGACACAGCGACACCTACATCTGTGGGCAACGTGAACAATGTCAACAGGCGTCATCAGACCTGGTTTCATGCTCGGCTTTGGTCACAATGGTTTCTGTTAAAAAATGGGGATAAAATGTAATGTTTAGCAGCATTTAACTGACTACCCTACTAGTCTTAAAAAAACAAGCGAGCGGAAAGAACTGAAATGGAACTTGAATAGGTACTTATGTAAATTAATAGTCACCATTAAAAGGCACAACCAGAAACCAACTTGTGTCTGCAGTTTCATAAAAATGGGTCAAATGTGGGTTGAACATGAAAGAGGTATTGGTGACCTCACTGTATTTGTACAGTTGCTAAACAAAGCCTTTTCACATGCCTCTCTTTACTTTTACAGGGTTGCCAGATCCTTTTGCCAAAGTGGTGGTGGATGGCTCAGGACAATGCCACTCTACAGATACTGTGAGAAATACGCTGGACCCAAAGTGGAATCAACATTATGATTTGTAAGTCAATGGGAGCACTAAAACAGTTTGACATGTTGCTGTTTATGCCTCATTGAATTAAGAAGTGTGTGTGTGTCTGTCTCCTGTCCTGTGACTGCTGTGACTGCCACAGAAAGCATTGTTTTCACAGAAATGCTAATACTGGTTCTAGCATATGTCTCTGTGGTTGAACTGCTGTGACAAGTGTTTTAGGAATGTAGATTGAGTCGACTCTTTACTGTGTGCAGAAACACCCATCTGTAACGCTTTTGAGCTGTTGTCTACAAAACATCTTGTAGAGTGAGATTTTAGACATTCCATATCTCAGGCCTCATAAATACCTATGCAGTTTCGGGTGGAAACACAACTTTTACAGATAGGAAGTTCCTTCTTTCTCAAATACCAGATTCTTCCTATTTTGGGTATTCGAAGTACTCCTGAACAATGTCCTCTGTGAATTAGAGTTTGCCTAACTCTTATTTTTCTGGCTTGCTCACTTTCTCTGAGCCAAATGTGGCTTTACATAGGCCAACACACATTTAGAGTGCTAATTTATTTTAGTAATCTCTTTCAAGGTAAGCCACATATCAGCTTTTGTGAACTTGCTTCTTAAAAGGTTCTTTTCATATCAAGGAAGCTCTCTTGTCAGGCTCAGAAATGTAAATGCAAATCATTGGTATTTCAAACTAAATCTATGAATAATGCAATGGTCAAAGAAACCAAAAGATGCAGGAGGGAAAAGCTTTCTGTGCGGTGATTATTGTGCTCATTGGTCTCAGAAGATATGGACTACAAAGACTAGAATGGGATCACCATTCCACTCCACACTTGAACCGGTGGCAGGAGGGGTGTTTTCACCGGGGCCGTGTGCTGTGAGGTGTACTGTGTTGAAAGGGTGCACTCGAGAATTACAAAAGAGAGAGGTATAATAGTAAACAATAAAATATGAATGACAATGGATATCTTTGGGTTTTGGTGTGTTTTTCAGACAAAACAAGACATTTGTAGATGCCTTAGAATCTGGGACCTTGTGATGGACATTATTCACAATTTTCTGACATTTTATAAACCAAACAATTAATCTGTTTTTCAATAGAATAACAGGTAGGTAAATTAATAATGAAATGAATTGTTATTTGTCACCTTAATTGTCATTAAACCCAGTTGGTGAAGAACATGTATGTTTCAGAATCCTTTAGATGTCCATGCGCATGTGAATATATTTGTGCCTTTATCATTTCATTTGTAACAGATACATCCTACCTTTCTGGCCACACTTTAATTTTCAGACACACACCTGTTTGCAATGCTTCTTGAGCCGTGTCAATCTCAGGTCCCCTCCTTCTTTTACTTCATTCTCTACCCCTGTCTCGATCCCCACCCTCAGAGGAGTGCGTTTCCCGCCAGCGACCCTTGGCCTCTTCCTCTGGTTCAGGAAATGGCTAACATGCCACAGAAAGCAGATGGGAGTGTGGGCTTGGCAGATTACCGTCTCGCCACACCCCAATCTCCAGCTTTAGGAGGGTGGGGTCTTTACCCACCCAATTATCCCACCAGGGAGCTTGGTGCCCTATAATACGTATCACACATACCCTGCAATAATTATATCCCTTTTGACTAAAGTTGAGGCTCTCTTATTCATGTTGGTGTTCTGTGTCCTAAAATTATTAGGACATGTAGGCCGAGCCAACTTTTTGAAAACATTTTGTAAGTGTTGAAAGTTCACGAACTCACAATAGTATGTAGGTCTGGCTTTGGCAAGTTGCCTCCTCATGCTTGGCCTCCAATTTCCAGCCTTTTCAGTATAACTCTTCACATTTCTTTGGTTACAGGATCAGATTCGCTTTCTGCTTTCTCCTTCCTCTGCATGTTGTGCTGTGCATACCATGTGCCCTCATGAGAGTCTGTGTTACCTTACCAACCTTAATGCATACTGCCTGAGCAAGATTTGGTTTGTCTCCAGTCATACAATATATCAGTGGCACAAGCATTGCTAAAGTCAGTTTTACTCCCCCTATGCATTGCCAGTAGTTGGCAAGTTGACTCTCTTCATCACAACCTACGTATTAAAAGCTGTGGAGGTCTGTATGTCACATATAGCCACCTACAGTGTAATTAGAAAGTGAGTAACTCCAGATATTGAATGGTAGTGTTTCAATATGGGGAGAGTATTCTCTGCTCCATTCCTGTCTGCAGGGAGCCTTGCATATCTACATTGCACCCAGAACGTGTTGTACCTTATAAGTGATGGTTCTGCTTAAATATTAGCAATTTTCCATTATGAGAGACAGGGAAAGTCTGTGGAAGTGAAATGGGGTGATAGCGAACCGTTTTGAGGGAATCGAGGAAAAATGCTTTGGCATTAACTCAATTTACATAAATCAGATCAAGGTACTTGATATGGACAAGTCTGATTTATTTTTGTCTTTATCAACTAAGGCTGTCCAACAGTAATATGAAATTATATCCAATCTGGAAAGAAGTCGTATTTTTGATTTCACAATTTAATGTACGTTCCCTGGCAAGAAAAAGTTTGGGAAGTCCTGCAGGTCTGGATTTAGTATGTCCCTGAAAGCTAATCTGGATTTGACCCAAGAAAATTTTTCCCCTCCACTGCTGCTGTCTGTAGGATTAGGAGTGATTATCCTTATTTTTGTTGTTGCCGTAACCACCTAATGGTGTGTGTGTGTGTGTGTATCAATTTCTGTGTCTCTAACTATGTTGTCTGTGTGCTTGACCACCAGTGTTTAGTAGTTACTAACAGGTATTGTATCATCACTTGCAACCCTTTATAACTTTATAATACTTAAATAACCAAGCCCCTAATGTTTTGAAAGAATGTTTAGCACAGAGATGCAAATACTGCAGTTTACTTTCCTTTTAGCAGTTCAGTCCAACCCCATCCATGTAAATTTGTAGTCGGTAGCTGTCCTGTTATAATTACCTCAGTAGCTACAATCTTATGGACACAGGGTTTCCTAACACTGTTTTTTGTTATGAGTGAGCAAATAACATTTTGTTCTACCTGTTCTCTTATCCTCAGACATTTAGTCATTGTCTCATCAGCTATTTCAGTTCTCTTTTTTTTGTTTCAAATGCATCACATCGGCCTGTTAATCTCACAACCACACTGTAAAGGGAAGAGCACAAGATTAAATTTAGAACATGATGATGTCCTTAGAGAGACGTTTTGAGTTGCACCACAGCAACCAATCGCAGGGGACTAAATAGAAACATAACAGTACAAGCTCTAGTGCATCTGTTGATCAGAACAGTGCCCTAATGCTTTGATTAAAAAAAATAGATCAAATATAAGAAAAAAACATCTGGCTGTTTTTTTCATTTCATCTTTGAGCAAAAAATCATTCAAGTTGTCCTAACTAGTGCAATGTTCTGTACAATCCCTCATATTATAATATGACAGAAGCCTTTCACAAGATGGAGGGTTTGGAGCAGCTTACATACAGTGGTTTCTAGTCTGCAAGTATCTACTTCTTGGCACACAAGCTTTTAATTAACTCACCTTTATTGAAGAAGGAAATTGAAACTTTCATTCCACAAAACTTTGTGTTTTTCCTTTGATTTGTCATCCAATAGTGTTAAATGGCTAGAATGAGATCATAATCATCCACATGTGCAACAAAGCACAGGCCTGGACACCTCTGCATCTGGTAAGAGAGAAAAAGTGAAAGTACCAAGATTGCTACTGCATCCTCATCAGATAGTAAATACAGACTGAATCACTGGACACTTAAAAAGATCCAGAACCCACACAGGTTGTAATTTGATTTCAGTGCAACAATTTTCTATACCAAACTTATACGTTTTGATGTGTTTAGTAGGGAAACCCCACTCCTTGCTTGTGATACACAGCATAATGTCGAGCTTGGCATCAGTGCTGCTAGCTAGGCTGCAATTACATGTGTATGTGAGCGTGTCCATGATTGTGCATTTGAATTTTGTGTGTTTACTGTGGGAGCTGTCTGGGTCTCAGACAGTGGTTGAGCACATCATGAGGACTTCCTCTGTTCTTCAACCACGACTAGACTGAGTTCAGCTGCACTAAATCTGCACCAACACGCAAGCACATACACACAAGTTACTTTAAAATCAGCTAATCGGTCTCATTACACAGTCTGCAAGTCTACACCACAAACATGGTGTGGATTGTTCTCTTGCTGTCAGGGAGAAGTAGTTGAAAGAGATGCAAAATTGAAGTTTCAGTTCGTCTGTGTTTTTAATCGGTGTATTTATCAGTGTTTTGGAAAATTGTGTGTCGTAACTTATGATTTCATTTAACTTCCATCTTTCAAACCCAGTGGTTAATGAAAACCCGCTCTGTTCTTTGAGCCTCCTGCAACAAGCATGCACAATGTCTCATTGGACCCTTTGAAATGCTATACATATTGTCAGGATAACAAACTACTCCTATTTTCTGTTTTATTGACTTCTTTTCTTTCGCTCCCTGTCAGATACATTGGTAAGGCAGACTCAATCACCATCAGTGTATGGAACCACAAGAAGATCCACAAAAAACAGGGTGCCGGTTTCCTGGGCTGTGTCCGCCTCCTGTCCAACGCCATCAACAGAATCAAGGACACTGGCTGTAAGTACCTGCTTGTGTTTGTGTGTGCATACTCTGTCTTTGAACAGTCACTGAAAAGGGTCACTGATGTCTGGTCTCTTCATGCTCCCTCTGCATGCTTACCACGGCCTTTACCCTAAGGTGTCAGCTGGTGTGTTAGTGAAGGGTGATGGTGAGGCTCCATGGGAAATACAGAATGAATAAATGAATAACTAACAGCAGTTGGGTGAGCCATGCTAACCTCTCTTCACACATGTATGCACACACATCCTGCAGTCAGCACACACATAGACAGACTAGACCTAGTGTCTCCGACAACAGACACAGACTCCATGTCCGGGAACCTTTCCTGTGCCCCTGTTTTATCTGGATGCACCAGTTTGATAGCTAGCTAGGCTGCTGCTACATGTGTATCTCTTACAGCAGTGCCGCTGTCCCATTCCCAGCTTTCCGCCTCCTGCTGCTTCAGTGCCAACCATTTATTGCCATAAGATTTATGGGCACAATACACAGGCAACTCCTTTAGGCCACACATATCAGAAATATTGCCTGCTAGAGACATCTGGCACCTAGGACTACATCAGTTGCATCAATTAATTTTACAACAGGGGGACTTTCTGTCATGGAAGCAAATAGCTTTTATCCTTGGACGCAATACTCATGCTGAAATTCTTATTGTCACTATTTGGTACAAGATGCAAAAAGAGGAAGAATGATGCTGTTTTGGCATAGTTGTGTGATTATCCTCAGTTGACTAGAAACTTGATCGCGGGCGAATGTGGGTAACATACGCAGGAACAGCAATGATTTTGCACAGACAGACACACACACACATTCTCAATTGGTTAGTTTCCCATGTGCATGTCTTCAGGCTGCTGCCCCTGTGTTGTGCCCTTTTATTTCCAACTGATGTAGACTCTTATTTTCTCAGTGCAGTCCACATGGCCACATGCTTGTTAACCCTGTCTGCCTTGTTGTCATAGCCAGTCAGTTGATACTGACACATATACAGTTAACTGTAGTTCATACTGTAAAATGTAAAATTCTTTCCACTCATTCTCCTCCTTTCTTTCAATCCATCTGTGTGATCTGTCTTAAACACAGACAGTCATGTACCAGAACCACCTCACTGAATTACGGTACATTTTTCTCCCCATTTTTTTTAATGTATCTGGCATTTTCTTTATTTCCATTCATCCATTCTACACAGTCACGCCCCACAACCACTTAAGGAATTGTTTGTCTGAATATAATTGGATGCTTTTTTATCCAAGCTGCATAGTTTGCTACTTCCATGAATGCAAGTCGTAAGTTGTAATTTGGTTGGCCCAGATGTAACGGGATGTAACGGCATCTTACGCCAACTCCAAACTGTCAAGCTAAATACTTCACATAAGAGTTCAGAATACGTTCCAGCAACCTTTGTTTGCTCCTAAATGGCACTTTTGGCTCATAAAGTTCACCCCCTAATCCACCAAAAACCACAACAGCGTCAGTGTTGCCACAAAAGGGACCTTGGCGACCATGGAAGCTTGCAGCCATACTTTTACTCCACTGTGTGCTAACGGACTTGCCCTTAGTTTTACCCACAACTTCCAGAAACAGACAGTATAGGCTCCAGTTAGGCTCCAGACCAGCCACTTACTGTATAGCCAACATGGCAGAAATGATACTTTATCACAGCCACAGGAAGTGGACAGGGAGACATGAGCTATGACAAGACACCAGTGCTCACATTATCCTTTTGTCCTCGTCCTGTGTGCTGCAGACACATGAACAGTGCCCAGTCCCTGGTCTGGCCAGGAGGCACACACGTACACAAAAAAAACTTTTCTGGAATTGTCTTGGATCCTAGAAGTCATATTCTTTCACATAGCTCACTTTGTCATCCAACGCAAGTACACACTCATACAAAACACATACTTGCAACCCAAAAGGCAATCTGGGATGATCGTGTAGTTTACTTTTAAGTCTGTCTGGCTCAACACTGAGCACCACTTCCTGTCGCGTCACAGACACAAACCTCTAAGCCCTTTGACCCACTTCTGAACCTACAAACTCACTAACACACAAACCACCAGTTTTTCAGAATGATTTGACTGACTACACATGTTAGTCAGCTTCGTTTGAACCTCTTAATTTGTGTGTAGTATTTATAGTGATGTAACCGCTTATATTTACTGATACAGTTTTTACATAATGCATACCAACACACACATGGAGATGTGATGAGATGTAAATAAGCTAAATTAACCAATACCAAACACACTCATCTTATGTGGGTCCACACACATTTACATGCAGTTAGCACACAATTTTCCTAGCTCTGAGGAATTGAATGGTGCGGTGAGGGCCCGGGTTGTGGTTAAAGGTCTGTAAATGTTCTGTCTCTCTGTTTCCCTCTTCTCTTATTTAAGAGAAAAATCTGCTTACTATTCCAGCCATGTAAGGCTTAGACCATCGCTGTTTAGTCTAGAAACGTATCCGGAACAGATGCACACATAGAGACACACACACACCCACACACACTGGAAACAAGCCATAGGGTTGTTTAGATCTGCTTAGTCTATACATACAAACAGACACAATTTTATGTGAATGCGAAATCATACAGGCAAACCAAAGACATGACAAATCCAGTCCGACTTTGGTTTTAGTATTAGCACATGGAGAACTAGGGCATCTCTTTATCTCCCCCTCTCTCACTCACTTTTCCTCTTCTGCATATTTCCCTTCCTCTCCCTCTCCCCCCTCTCCTACACTAACACTCTTATGTCCGATTATGTTTTAGGTTTTCATATTTAAGTAAGCCCAAGTCCCTGCAGGACTTTTACCCTGCAGTGAAATACAACTTGCATTGTAAACGGGAACCAACTGATATCATCCTTGTGCTGATCAGCTAGACTGGTCATGCACAAGTCTCCCAGTGGAATTTAGTGTGTGTGTGTTAGTGTGTGTCAGAGAGAAAAAGGGTGAGTGGGGAGAGACTGCTAAATGTATCTGTGTCTGGATCTTGTTCGGAGTCTTCCTGGGTTGTGTTTCTGTGTTGTCTGTGTCCGGCAGTGCTATCCTCTGCTGAACCTACAATGAGTTCTTTTTTTATCCAGAAACAACAAGACTGCTAACACATTTTATGTCCAAGATTTGTGATTTTTTTGTCTCCAAATTTGTATCTCTTTCATACAAAATGGGTAAAGCTGCAGGGGGATTTCTTCTACAGAGTAGGCTGATGAATTTTTTACATTGCGAAGGCACACTGGCATGCCAACTTAATTTATTATATCGCAGTTCTGACAGTCTACTTCAGTATGTCGTGTTCCATCATGCATCTGAAAAAAAGGCCCTGTGTAGTTTGAAAGAACATTGAATTGGTGCATTTTCAATAATATAATTTATCTCAGTTTGACAATATAACACAAAATAATGGTTCCAAAAGTACTGGTCATCTTTGTCCTTTGTTATGGCACTGCTTGAGTTTTGGAACTGTTCAACCTCCTTGAACAACGTGCAGCAATGTTTAGTACATGTAAATCAATTTGACAGATAAATAATCACCTCAAAACACAAAACTCTGTAGCATAGCCCTATAGTATGCAACAGTAGTCTGTTTATCATAACACTCAGACACCTCATTCCTTTAAATGGCCCGGCATTGACACTGAAAGGTTTGGCTCAAAACTACTGTTTGATTGTCGCAACAGAGGATAAAAATGATTCCGCTGGCATCTGATGATAATCCTTCAAACTCATGGATATATTACTCAATCTGGCCTTCCTGGATAGTGTTTCATCGTCTCACTGAGGCAACATGCCCACACACCAATGCAGCCTCCTGCAGTTCTGTTTTCAGTCTGAACACCCAGTTACTCAACCTAAAATAAAACAAGATGCACATCGTCTGAGTACCTGGATATGTTCATGGTTGTAAATGGGGGCAGAATCAAAGTGTCTTGTTTCGTTTTCTTGCAGATCAGAGACTGGATCTGAATAAGCTGGGCCCCAATGACAATGATACTGTGAGAGGACAAATAGTCGGTAAGAAACACAAACACATACACACAGAATGTCAGCTGCATAGTGTATGTCACCATAGAAAAAAAAGATAATTCTATAAGATATATCTAGTTGCATGTTAGTCTGGCTCTGTTTACATATTTCTTAAGCTCTTGTCTACATTCAGTGTGCCAAAAAGTTGAAGGGGGCACAAATCCCAGGGCTTTTGTCCGCTGTACATTTACTGTCTGAAAACACTGAACCAGTTAACAACTGGGTGACATTGCTATTTCTTGCAGTTTTCTTGATAAATATAAATGGATGGTTCAGTTATTTTGCAAATTCAACCTCAATTAACTACCATTAATCATTCTGATACCAAACATTATTCAATATTTGAAATTAGGAGATTGACAGTTGAACTGAGTCCTGTTAGAGACAATTCTGGATGTCTGGATGTCGCAGTGCATTGTAATATTTAAACACTAGACAACACAAATTGACCCAGACTGTATCCTCTTTCTCAATGCTCTGACTCAGATTATTACCTAACCACTGAACCACAGACTGGAAGATTTTTTTTTTTCTGGCTTAGTAATATAAAAGCAGAGGAATATTTTTATTTTCTGTTACCTACCAATACAGTCTTTTATGTTTTTTTTCTTATTTTCCTTTGTATAAATGTCAGAGGAGAAAGGGTAATATGAAGAATATAAAGAGGACAAAAATGTATAAAAAGCATTAGTGGAGCTGGAATACACATGCCATAGGTACTTTATACAAAATGATGAATAGACTAAACATTATTTATTATTTGAGCTGCACTGTATGGATAGGAAAATGTAATTGATCCATGGTCTTCCCTGTCTTTGTTAACTGTGTAGTAAGTCTTCAGTCCAGAGATCGCATTGGGACAGGAGGGCCGGTGGTGGATTGCAGTCGCCTGTTTGACAATGACTTACCAGATGGGTTAGTATTATGACAGGTTTTCTTTTAAAAATGAGCTATTTTGATAGAACTCCTTCATTATATCAGTGAAGTAATCTTTAATTTGTAGGTGTTTGTGTTTTTGTGTATATTTGAAATGTGAGGTATATTTAACATTTGTAAACCGTATATGTGAATATTACTATCCTCCCTTTGAGACTTTTGTCTGGTTTGTAAGGAGAGAATATCACCTTTTTCATTAACTATTTTTATGTATTCTTGTGCAACTCTTTATGTGTGTGGTGTTTTTTAAAGATGCATTTAAAAGGTTCAGCTGTATGTCCAATTGGTGATTCTCTTTTTTTGTGTTATTTATATAATGAAAGATACAATGTTTGATAGTGCTGTTAGATGAGCATGTTTGTATACGTGTCAAAAGTGGACAAAAGTGGCTCTTTTCTCATTGGTTTGTCTTAATCTGTCATGAAACAGCTGGGAGGAGAGGAGGACAGCTTCTGGAAGGATACAGTACCTGAACCACATCACACGTACCACGCAATGGGAGAGACCTACCAGGTACATCTGCACACATACTGCACTTCCCATTTTGACATGGGGGGTCTATTGAAGTGGTTTCCGCACTTTTCTCTTCAAAACTTCCACTCAGCCCCTCTCACAACACAACAGTATAAATATATCAATAATGAGTGAACTGCTGTCAATTTCCTTAGCCTCCCACCCACCAAAACTCACTTACTCACTCACTCTTACACACACACACAGCACCGAGTTTTTCTCTACTTGCAGGAGTTGAAGAGGGTTAATTCATAGGGGTAGGCCAGTTTATTTCCTCCTATGATGTCTAGACATACACAGAAGTATATTATTGGAAAACAGCTTGTGTCATCAGTCCCGCAAGAAGGAAAAATGTGCTTCATTTTTGGTTAAGATTAAAAGAAAATTAAGGATTATGTGTTGCATAAAAGCAAAACAATACGTCCTTCAAGTCCAAGATCTTATTGTATGTTTATGCTACTTAACAGAGGACCAACATCACAGGATATGAAAGCAGACACAAACAGAGACAGGCTGGCTTACCTAACACTTTCCTGGATCTGTATGTTGTGTGTAAATGTGTGTGTAGTAGGTCTGACCCACTGTCTGGCTGTCAGGATTACAGACGCCTAGATATCATACCTTGGACCTTGTCTTAAACCCACAACTCACCACCTCTCCTCTCCACACACTTCTTCCTTCCTTCCTTCCATTCCTTTTTTCTGCCCCCTCACTTATGTCCTACCTCTCACTCCAGTTTCCCTGTTCCGTCCTCATGTTATTACCCACTCTTCTTTCCATATTTGGCCATTTTCCACATTACCCTACAAAGGGTTCTCTCATGATGAATCTCATCGACCACATTACATTTATAGTACCAAACAACGTCTACTACAATTTTACAAAACAGCCTTTTTACTTTGTTATACTAAGTATAATGCATAACATACTCTGCTATGAGATCATAAATAAGCAAAAATAATTGATTTCGTTTAATTTCTTACACTTGCACTGTTGGATATTAAAGACACAAAATGGGGGAAAAAAAGACCAAAACATATAAATATTCCTCAACATTCACTTCCTCTCTTAACTTCATTTCTTCCTCCTACACAGTCCCTACCTGCCTCATCTCCCCTCAACAACACCATTTCTGCCTCGCTCAATGCCTAACCACTTAACCTTCGTCCATTTTCCTGTCCATTCCTCCCTGTTCTTACTTCTGCCTGGGGCCACTAGAGTAGTAAGAGTTGGATAAGGCGTACAGGCTGTACTATTTGTTTGCTTACTCCCCCAAGGCTCCCACTATTATGCCAAAGTAGAAGCGCGACAGTTGTTCCCTTACACGAACAGGGGCAAGTAAAACCTAGCTGCCCCAACTAGATGGCTAGTTTATTTAAAGGTGCGTTGTT